TTTTGGTTTTGTTTTGTTTTTTTTTTTGTTTTTTTGCCACCCACCCCGTCCGTCCCCCATCAAGGGGCACCGCTGCCCCTCTTGTTCCAGCACACTTTTGATAGCAGCTGATCATCGCAGAGGAACAAAAGGCCATCAAACGGCACCGGGCCCCATTCTGCTGATATGCAAATCCGCCTCATCTGGGTATCAAAGGCTCGCCTCACTCTGCACATTTTGCTAATCGATAAATACTTTGACGGTGCGGCGCTTCGGCAAGGACTGAGCATCGCCGAGCATCGCCATGGGGAAGGTGAGACGAAACGCATCGGAACAGTCGCGGGGAAAGCCGTTTCAGCATTTACTTGATATTCTGCCGGTGTTCGGATGTGTCCGCGATGTCCTCGTTTCGTGACCAGTGAGACCGTTCGACACACTCGCGGCATTTCAAGTAAACGCTCCGAGGGCCGACTCGCTGAGACTCAGTGTCGCTTGTCTCTCTTTGCCCAAAGATCACCTTCTACGAGGAGAAGAAATTCCAGGGCCGCTGCTACAACTGCAGCAGCGACTGCGCGGACCTGCACTCCTACTTCACCCGCTGCAGCTCCATCCGGGTGGAGAGCGGCGTGTGGGTGATCTACGAGAGGCCCAACTACAAAGGCTTCCAGTACATCCTCTGCCCGGGCGAGTACGCCGACAACCAGCAGTGGATGGCCTTCAGTGACAGCGTCAAATCCTGCCGCGCCATCAAGAACGTAAGAGTCGATTCATTTGAACTCTCCCACTCCGACATTTGCCCCAATTTGAAACATCTTGACATGCTTCAGGGTTTCGAGGCGATTCCAAGTTCATTGAGCAAAGGCAACGTTATTTACAGCCAGCAGGTAATCCGGTCAACGCTCGGCAGAGCTTGAGGAGTGCCGCTCAACCGGCGACTAATTCATCTGGGCGACTACCTTCTCCAAATTTGGTCTCTCCCTTCAAGGGAAAGTCTTTGTCCACTGTGCAACTTTTGTACAAGCCCTGCAGAGTTGCCCCCAACATCTCCTTACCGAGGACCGAGAGAAAGCCCGCGGTCACAAC